GCCACCTCCCGCCCCTGCCATTCCACGCATGCGGGGAGCCAGCCCCCACGGCCTTGGCTGAGAACGTACCTGACCCCAAAGTGCCCCCGCATGCATGTACCCCCCTCTGCTCACCCCACTCTTCTGCTCACAGGATTCCCCAAGATGCCCTTCTCTACTTGGCTCTTACAAGCTGGCCTTGGCCCTCGACTCCAACCTCAGTTCTGCAGGAGAACCCGCTCCATGAGTTGTGTACACAGCAGGCGCCAAATAAAGACCAGGTGATGAAAGTGGCCTGGCTCCTCCCGGAGGCGTGGGAGCACGATGCTCAGGCACACAGGCCGGGTCTGAGCCAGAGCCCTTCCCCGACTAACGAGGTGACTCTGGGCCCCTGTGGAGGGGTCTGAGCCTCCATTTCCTTATCTGTCGTGTGGAGTTTTGATCACATGGAACCATGTGGGATTGCTGTGAGGACTAATTACAGGACATAGAGACCTCCGTGCCAGCAGCACAGTACGAGCACAGCCAATGTTGGTGAACATCCATTCATGGCTGTGCTTACCCAGGGCCGGCCGGCGGGAGGGCCGCACACAATTAGCAGAGCCCGGCCGGCTGCCAGGGGCCAGGACATGGCCCTACAGCAGGCTGCCATGGTGGGCAGGGATCCCCAAGCTGCCAGCCTTCACCCCCGCTTCTCCCACTGGACTTGAACCCTGACCCTTTCAGCTGGACCCCAGCTCTGCTTCGATACCGGGGCCGCCCCGACAGGCCTCAAGGGTTTCGAGGCCACACGCGGAGCAAGAAGAGCCAGGTTTTGAAATCTCCCCCTGCCTCAGTGACTTTTCTGATGGATGGACCAGCATTACAAGCCAGAATGGATGGGAGGGATTCAGAAGAACAGCAAGTAGCAGCACCTCCTCCGAAACATTGGAGAAGAAAATGAAGATCTCCTACGATGGGCTCAGGGAAATGTCGTTAACACTCCCCAGGGCATGAGCTGAAGACTGAGACCTCATTGTGTTTGGGGAACCAAGTTCCAGAACTATCCAGAACTTTCCAGAACAGTCTAGAACCGTGGCCGGCAAACTGCGGCTCGCGAGCCACATGCGGCTCTTTGGCCCCTAGAGTGTGGCTCTTCCTAAGCCTTAGGAGTACCCTAATTAAGTTAATAACAATGTACCTACCTATATAGTTTAAGTTTAAAAAATTTGGCTCTCCAAAGAAATATCAATCGTTGCACTATTGGTATTTGGCTCTGTTGGCTAATGAGTTTGCCGACCACAGGTCTAGAACATGGGCAGCCTCCTGAGCCTGCCCCGTAGTTTCCCGCTGACCGGCCAGGATAGCACAGTGGTTACTCACAGTCCTGCGAGGAGCGGTGTCGGAAGGTGAAGCGGAGGTGGCTGCGGTTGACGTCCTCGATGGGGATGGCCACCTTGCGGAAAAAAGGGAAGTGTATGTAAGCCCCGCTGGCGCCGTCTCCTCGCAGGGGCAGCGCAGTCCCCGGAAGCGCGGGGGAGGGATGCCTAACCCCCGGATGCTGTCCCAAAGGCAGCGGCCTCTGGAACAGGAGGTAACACTGTGAAGGGTGCCCGGGACTCTGTGAGGGCCCTCAAGGCTCATAAAGGCTCTGACCCTACTGCTAAGATTCTGGGTTTAAAGCCGACTTTTCTGTCCTTAGCCCGACCCCAGGCGTCTGGCTTCCCCGGCAGCTGCAGGGCCTGCCCCGGCGGCAGGATGAAAGCGTTCTTGTTGTGACTGACGGTGAAGCAAAAAGAGCGACTGCACAGCCGCTCAGCCAAGACTGCCCTCGCCCTCCCCTCGCACATCTGCAGCCACAGCCGCCGCGGGCACTGTAACAGGCATGGCAGCGCCCGGGGACAGACCATCTCCCATGGCCTCTCACGGCCTCCCCTCCCCTCCATTTGCTGTAAGGGCAGCATTTCCTACATAATCCAGACCCGGGAGGAGAAACACAACAGCTGTCCTTCAGGGACTCTCTCATTTGTCTCCATGAAAGTCCTACTTATCTGTTAAAAGGAAATGAGAGGGAATGTGTTCCAAGAAACGCCCGAGTGGCTCCTTAGCGACCTCGCGTGACTTGGCGGGAGGCTCAGGTGCCCTTGGCGGGCGGCCCCTGGGGTGGGAGGAGGGGACTTCCCTAGGCTCAGATGAGCATTTCACCATGGACCCCGCAGGACGAAATGGCCACGTCAACGATACCTTCACGGTCTCGAACCAGCGCGGCTGCTTGACCTGGTAGTAAATGACGGACTTGTACTCGGAAATGGCCCCGTCGCCGGCGCCCGGGAAGATGACGTGCTGAGGGAGAGGGCACAGAACTCCATCAGGCCTCAGAGCTCGCCCCGCGTCCTCCCCACCTCCCGCCCCGTGAGCCGAGCCCGAGGGAGGAGAGAGCGTCCGGGAATGCCAATCACCCGCTGCCCATGGCACGATCCCAGCGATGCCGGGCACATCCATCCGATGCCCGTGGCCAGCATCAACCCCACTCCCAGACTGTAGGGGCCAAGCCACCTGGGATTGCTGTCCCCCACCCTTCTCACCCTCACCCCTAACGATGCCCACAGGAGGGCTGCAGGAAGCTGCCTGATTCCCTCGGCAGGGCCCCCCGAATAAAGGGCTCCAGACAAAATGTAGGAGGCGGTAACACCCCCTGCAGGTCGTCCCCAGCTTGAACACTGACCACTTGGCACTGCCCGCTGGGACAGGGCACAGAGCCACCCGGAGAGAAGGGTGGCCCTCCTCCTGGCAGAGCTGGGCCCCAGGTGCCCTCACAGGGCACAGCCCTCAGCCACGGTCCACAGAGCCAGCTTGGCAGGGGCTGGGACACCTGCCTTGGCTTGGCCTCCGGTCACAGAGGAGGCCACGGCCTCTGGGCACGTCCCAGGGCCCCGAGTCCCGCAGCTGCTGTGGCCACTCAGGAGGGGGCCTTGGTCCCACCGCCACCTGGACGACTCCATGCTGTTACAGGTCAGATGTCCAAGTTCAAACCCAGTTCCACCTCTCGCCTGCGCTCTGACCTGAACAAGTGAATTGGTTTCTCTGGACACCAAGTTCCCTCATGTCTCCAATGAGCTAACAGCGGTTTCTGAACTTCCAGGCCGTTGCCAGGACCCCGCGGAAACCCGCGTCCAGGGCAGCAGGAGAAGGGAAGGAAGACCAGGCCCCGGGCGCCCCCAAATCAGGAGCAGGTCTTTCCTAGTCTGTGCAGAGGTCAGAGGTGAACACCTGGAAGCAACACTAAACGCTACAGTTAACTTCGCAACAGTCCGTACCTCCAGCCGCTTGCCGTCTTCATCGTAAACAGACACCGTGACCTCGACATTCTTCGCCGTGGTTTTGCTTCCTTTATCGAAATCTCCTTGGACTAATGTCACGTAGATGTCATTTCGAACATCACCTGGTGGGGGGGAGGGGAATTACACCCTGAAAACCAATCAATCCGTCATCCATTGTGTAAACGGGAATTTTGTAAAAGGGTCTAACTCAGTGATGGCAAACCTATGACACTCGTGTCAGAGGTGACACGCGAACTCATTTTTTTGGTTGATTTTTCTTTGTTAAGTGGCATTTAAATATATAAAATAAATATCAAAAATATAATTTCGAACATCACCTGGTGGGGGGGAGGGGAATTACACCCTGAAAACCAATCAATCCGTCATCCATTGTGTAAACAGGAATTTTGCAAAAGGGTCTAACGCGTTAGCTCTCCTAGCTGAGCGCTATGAATACTGCGTTCGAGGGTCACAAAATACTTCCCACGAAACAGTCTCCGCCTATCGAGGCACGACAAGGGCAATTTCATCATCATGGTGAGAGTGCAAGAAAGAGGGAATAGGCCAAGGCCCCTAATTATCTGCTGGGTCTTGTCTTGCCCTGGGCAGAGGCGCCCCACCCCTCTGGGGGGCCCACGCCCTGAGCAGACCGAATGCTGGCACTGTCTGCAAGGACTCAGCCCCTCCGTGTCCATGGCGCCCTGGGCCCCTGTCGCCACCCGTCAGACCACTGGCTGTGGCCATAGTCCCGGTGCCAAGGAATATCACCGACATCAACCCGGACACCAAGGACAACAGGCGAGGGGGGCCTCTTGTGCGTTTTACTAGGAGCTGAGCAAAAAGCTGACGAACAATTCAAACCACAAGCCCTGCCCCGAGTGGCCTGGGATCAGGGATCAGGGACCAGGGACCAGGGACCAGGGACCAGGGATGCATCAGGAGAGAAACCTTCTGCCTGGTTCTCCCGCCCTCCTGGGGGGCAGCTGCCGGGAGCCTGAACGGGGACCCCGAGGAGCAGGAGAATAAACAGACCTGTGGGTCTTTTTAAGGGAGAGGGAGAGAGAAACATCAGTGATGAGAATCATGGATCGGCTGCCTCCTGCACGCCCCACACTGGGGATGGAGCCCGCAACCTGGGCACGTGCCCTGACCAGGAATGGAACCGTGACCTCCTGGTTCATAGGTCAATGCTCAACCACTGAGGCCAGGGATGTCTTTTTTTTTTTTTTGCACAATTTATTTCCCATCTCCCTTTAAAAGGCCCAGGTCTGTATTGAATGCCAACTGCCCTTGAATAAAATTAAAAAAAAAAAAAAAGCAACTAATGAGCTCAAGACATCCCTCGCACTGAGCACAGAGGAAGCCCTGATAGGGGCCCGACGGGGAGAACTTAGCAAAGCTTCGTTAGCAGCGTGAGGTGGGGGAAGCATCGCATCCAGGACTGCTCCTGGCTGTCGGGCGGCCACACCCGCGAGTACCCCACCCTGTCCCGCGGGGGACACGGGAACAGTGCCGTAGCAACAGCCCGCTCTGGGCCAAGGACAAGGATCCCTTAAGAAGCCTCCTTGCTTTCTGTGTTGTTGTTGTTTTCTGCTCTATTCTGCTTTTCATGGATCCAAGGAGGAAATTAAGCTTTCATTTCAAAGTCGTTATGATACGAATCCCAGCGGTCGCTAGGGCAGCCGCAGCAGCTGCTGGGGACAGAAGCAGCACACCAGGACCCTGACCCTGAACATCGTTGGGAATGACGGGGCGCAGGGCGGGGCTGGACGCATGGCTGCGGGCCCAGGACCTGCCCCCAGTGAGCTGTGCGACCTGGGACAGTCACCTAGCCTCCCACCCACTTAGCCACCCACTGCTAACTGTCGTCCGTAAGGCAGGGTGGGCTGCGGGGTCCCTCAGCCTGAAAGGTCTATCGAGGCACAAAATAACCCCGAAGGGGGCCCACGGCCCACAGAGGCCCCGCCAGCCAGAGGACCACCACGCTGGGAGGTGGCTCAACGCCAAGTCCCCTCACCCGCTGGCCCGGAGACGCCCACTGCGGGCCCCCAGAGGAAGACC